TTCACGCCAGGATTGGGAGGTGCGGCCGTACAACCCTGTGTTCAGCGATCGTACAAACAGGGGCCAATCAGTAACCTCTGTTTAACCTAATCAGCCATCCTGATCATGATTAAGCTCCCTACGTGTACACTTTATCCGCAATATTTATTTATTTATATCAAATGGCAGGCGTTTTGATAGTTATCATTAGCCCTTTAGTTGACTTCAGCCTTCACATCAAAGCGAAAAAAGTCAAGAAGGGGGTGGGAATAGAAGAGCGTTTCAAAATGCAAAAAGGTGGGATGAGTACAATGAAAGTAGTTGAATATAACATACAGTGAGGTGATGGTAGTTTGAAGTGAGAAGTCAACTGCCAGTTAATAGACTTTTTTGCCGTATGAGTATACGTTGCCCAGGGTGCACCGAGTGGAGGTAAGTCTATCGCACACCCCATGGTTTAGTAAGTACATTGTGAGGTATTGTTGTGCCTTCTTAATTTCACCAAAACTATATTACTTATTTATATATATCACTTGTAGAGTTTCTGACAAAACGCTTTTCTTTGTATGTGGGAATTGAACCTAGTAAAGGAGTAGGCATTTCAGAGTCGGTAGTAAGCAGTTTGTTTTTCAAACTTATCGTCTACTTCCATGGTCTTTTCTTAGTGTTTTGGAGCTTTTCAAGCAACTTGCGTTGGTTGACATTTGGATAATTGATATTTGAGATGATGTTGACAAATTTAATGAGTTTGTCTTGCAAGATGGCTGGTCCTTGGACAGCTGACTGCCGTCTCGGGTCTTGTACGTCTTCGGATCTTCCAATCTGTTGAGCAGTGTGGCGAATGGTATCTCGATTTTCTTTTCTCAATAATGTTTAGCCTTGCAGCATGGAATAGATTTCTTTGCACATCTGATTATGATATTGGTGACATCGTTGCATGATTTGTCGGGATGGTGGTTGAAGTTGAGGGGACTTGAGCGAGGTTTGTTATATATAGTTGCATCTAGGTTTACCTAAGCGCCTAACATGTCACTCACAACTAACACGAAGACGCATCTATATATCATAATGAAAAACATACTGATCAGATAACCAAAGAAAAATGATTTCTGACTTATGGAAAATGTATTTAAAATTTACTGATAAAACCCGTATTCTTAATAAATTATTTTTGTGTTTCATTTGAGTATTGCACGCAAAACATAATATTAAGTCATAGATTTTTGTTCAATCCATTTTAAAAGCAGCAGTTAAATAATGACAAATAAACACTATAATTGGACATATGACAATATTTCAGAAGCTTCTCCATATTGATAACAAATAGATCTTGCATAAATTGTTCCATTAAAATGAAAGTTTCTTTGATTTTGAATCCACGAAAAAAATAATACACAGATTCAATTATTCACAGACCATGGCGAAATCAGCAGAGACTTTCCCCTTAGGAACACAACAATCTTATATTTGAATATAAAACAACTCCCCTTAACTAACCAATCACTCTCCAATCACAAAACCTTTGAAAAATTCCCTATTGGACTTAAGCAGGATAAGTTTAAATCGAAATTGTCTACGCTATATTGGTAGCCAATATCTAATGTTGAAGTGCTGTGCTTTGCATTAACAAATTATTGTAATAAATAATAACCAAAAAATGAAGAAAAATAATCAAAGGGAAACCGTGAATTACTGTTGCTGTTATAAATGTTATTACAAATATTACCGCCTTACAATACACGTATCGAAGTGACATGCAAACGGCCAAATTATCGCCGAATATCACCGATTTGTCGCTTACCCAATTACAGTTTTTTCTCTTTAAATTAGGTAATTAAAACCTAAATTTACTGGTAATTATTGGGATTTTGTTAAAGAATATTCTACTTGTATCGTTAAGCAGTAGTAAATTCTTTGAAATCTTAGAAAATTTCAGTGCACTTATGTCATGACGAATTTTAATTCCAACTGCGCTTTCCTAGTTTAATAGCTTTATGGGAAGAAAATATTGCTTCATGGAATAATCTTTGAGCAAATATACAGGTATCAAAGGTGATTTCTGATTTAACCGCGCTTTATAAACATTCTTTCAACAGAGAATAATCTCTTTCCAGGGTTGTACGAAAGATCACTATTGAGATTGAAGTTAATTGGACATCTCAGTTTCAAACATTTATGTCAATTGCAAATTCTATTGCGTAGACCCATGATATACAACAGACCTTGAGAGCTCCATATTGTCAACCACTTCGGCGTATTTGCTACATCTACGACAACTTGGAAATACTTTCACGGTCACCCTTGTCGTCTGCAGAATTTCAAATCATCAATACTAAAAAATACCACGCACAAGTTGTAAATTGTAGTGGCCCTGAAAACAACTGATAAAAACTTTCCAACGAATCTGTGTTTTTCTACTATGGGATCTCTTATCTCTTAAAATCAGATCCCCTCCTACATTCCTATTCCAGTATTTTTTGCACATTAGCATACCTTAAGTGGAGCTTGGATCAATGCCCATCACTTGTCCATAGATATGGCCGTGATTTCGTTTGCAATGGATTACATAATAGTGTCTAAAATAAATAAATATGACTACTCTGAGCATTAAAGTAGTTAAAGTTATTTAGCAATTTTTTCACCTCATATACTGTTCAACATGTAAATGGGTTCTATGAATTAACTAATTAAAGAGTATTTTAAGTCAACCCAGTATTTTGTTGAATTAAATTATTATCTAGATTCACATGAACGGTAAGAGATGCAATAGACACCTTTAGTCTAAAACCCAGAGATTCCAAATTGTTTGTTTCGTGTATTGACGCACTTCATATATCATGCAGCATTAATATTTTATTTTAGAATTCAATAATATCATCAGATTATTCTTTCTGTCTATTTAAATCATTGAGGTTTGATAAAATAAAATTTGTTTTTTAATCAATCAATCCAAATTAAAAAGCTAGTTTTCATCTTATGCGTAGACGTCAATATGCTTTTAGTAAAATTTTTATAATTTTAAGGCATTACTTCTGTTAAATTTTTATGTGGGGCTATTGAGAAATATCATTAGGACTCCAGTTATAATTCAGTTTAGAAATTTATTTAAAGAGGGCAATTATGTTTGTTGTTTCCTTCTTCAGAGAGAAAAAAATCGCTCAAAATGACTTCCAAAGCCTTCGAGAACAGGTTGTCAACATGATCTAAAATACAAATAAAATGTCAGATTTTGCTGTGGGTGAATTGTTGAGCGCATAAAGAGTCAATGCTTTAAGTAAGTTGGTCTCAGATCAATGTCAGTTTGTTTTACTTTCCGATCTGATCTTTTCATTCCGACATTGTTATATTAGATTAATAGATACACTAATTATCTTGGAATCCAAATGTTAGTTCATAAACGCTTTCACGAGTGAAAAAAGACGAGAACCGTTTTCCATCTGTCGTATTGGTCATTGCTATCGACGTCTGCGAATTCGTCTTTGCAGAAATACATAAACATTAGAACCCTTAAAACTATAGCAATGTTTTCTAATAGGAAAATTGTGTCTAATAGAATTGCTTGTACTTTAAAACCAGAAACTATAATTGTCATTACTGCGTCAGAGAAGATAACAAACGCTTAGTTTGAAGCTAAGTTCTAAGTTCTAAAATGATTCAAAATACAAAGTAATGTCGCATTTCGCAGTCTGTTAATTGCTTAGAGCAAATAAAGTAAAGGTTTTAATCAAATTATCCTCATATCGATGGCAGATCATTGAATGAAGTTGCTTATGTAGCACGCGATGAAACACTTCACAAATTGAATGAAATTAAGAAATAAATTTGTTATTTTGGCAATCATTGCCTCATTGTCTTATTTTGTTCAAGTTAAGCAATGGTCAGCTTGATGTGTGCGTATGAACCACTGAAAGTTTTAAAGTTATTTGGATTTAATGGAATAGTTATTCAATTTTTTTTAAGTCGGTTTTAATGACACCAATATATGCACAGATATTGCAGTTATATCGGGTTGTTACACAAATATGCCCTGACATATGCTGGGTAAACTCACTGTGACAAGATGATTGAGTTTAAATGGCTTTTGTTGCTTTGCCAATAATATTATAAATTATTATTTTCCTGAAATTCGTTATCAGCTTGAGAGTCTTGGTAAAACAGAGAAATGGTTGCAAGTGTCTCGAAAATGGACTTTACCGGTTCTTTTATCCAACGAGGCATGAGAGAGATTGTGAAAGATGGGATTAGATGTGCTTCTAGTTTATAAATTGGAAACACCTCTATCCTGTTCTATCGCATAGTTTTGGCAAACCATTTACTATATAATATGAAGATATTAAAAATTTATTCAACCTCACTTTGGGTGAAAATAAAAATAAAAATCAAACCCTTTCTATTTAATTTGGAAAAAATAGTTGCTTAAAATTTTTGGCTTACTAGATGTATTTGAGAAGGAAATCACTTGGACTATTCACTTGCCCTATTTTATCAATTGAAAACACCACTAACGTATTTTATCGCATAGTTTGGGAAAATCATTTACTATATAATAAGAAGATATTAAAAATTTATTCAACCTTATTTTGCAAATTGGAAAAAATGTTTTATAATTTGTTGGCTAACTAATGCTGAGTGTAATTGAAAAGTGATAGAAATTTCAATTTTTTAATCAATTAAAAATGCCCTTTACAGCGTAATATGAAATGGCTTATATTGAGTTTTGCTTAAGAAGAAACATCGTCTTTGATATTGTCGTTGATTAGTGGGTCTCATTCTGAGTAAGTTTGAGTCAAAGTCAGTTTGACTCATCTCCGACTCCGTCCTCCCCGTCTTCGCCCTCTCCTTTCTCCTGTTCGTCCTCTTCCTCCTCCATTTCCTCTTCCTCCATCTCTTCCTCCTCTTCCTCCTCTTCTTCTTCCCACTCCTCTTCTTCTTCCTCCTCCTCCTCTTCCTCCTCTCCGTCTTCCCATGGTCCCTCCGGCCCCACGTCTATTTCTTGTCCACCATGACCGCCCTCTCCGCCACCATTACTAGCATGACAAATATAATGTGGGCCGTCCCAGCCACATCTTCTGTCACCATTAACGTCGATAGAATTAATAAGTAGGAAAATCACGATGAAAATCCATCCGTAAATTACTTTCATACTGCAAATCGAAGAAAATAAAATTTCACTAACATCTTCACATTTCCGAAACTAAATATATACCTACGGATAATGCATAGAGGTATATGACTGCCTATCTTAATGGCGGATTAAATAAGAATACAAATTGATTGGTTAAGTTAAACAAACAATTTGGTGTAGATAATGCAATAAAATTAAAAATAAAATACAAAATGGCCTATTGGAGTTCATATAATAACAAAATTCATACATTTTTACACCATAATTGAATTAAATGAGTCTTGTAGATGCTTGCAACAGGTTAAATGGAAGTCAACAATTGGGAACTCAATTGAAGCCCCCTTAGCAAGTCACTGTTATTAATTTTACTCCAAAAATTTCTATCAACTCATCTGAAATGCAAATAAATGTGATACCGATTGGGAAATAAGTGCGAATATTTTTCTTTATCAAATGGAGTGGTGCACCATGGACGCCATCGTCAGCAATTAAATTTTATTCTAAGATGAATTTAAACAGTAAGAGCTAATGGGAGCGTCATCGATTAGTTTGGTTATTCCTTGCAGTAATGTCCAAAGCAACTATCACGCTAGATTTATAATGAGAAATGATTCAAACAATGACATAGGCGTCAGCGGCTATTCCACGTAGAAAGCACCGGTACTCGTCCGATCACCGAAGTTAAACTACGTCGGGCCGGGTTAGTACTTGCATGGGTGACCAGCTGGGAATACCCGGTGTTGCCGACTTCTCGGCCAAAGAATACCTTCTCTGGAGTGCAGTCATGGGGTGTGCGATAGACTTACCTCCACGTGGTGCA